CACCACTTAGGACTGAGGTTATCGAATCATTGTTATCTGTCTATAATAAAGGCGTATTTTTACTGAACGAACTTTAACTCAGTATTTCTAAAATAAAATATAGGCTGAAGAAGAGACAAACGTACAGGCGCCGAGTCCTAAGGCGCACATTGAGGCAACACCTTGTGGAACTATGGGCACACGCGCTGATCTTTCATGTTACTTGCTCGTTGGGCATGAAGTCGACTTCGAAACTGACGAGAGTGGCGTGAAGTCTGTTGGTAATCTGCAGGACACCGAGTGCAGCGGCGCCTATTCCACCAAAAAAATTGTGACCGAGCAGAAGGCAGTGAGTGGCCCAACGAAGAGGGCACGCACAAAGAAGTGATGGCCCATAAGTTAGGGATAGAACTTTAGTAATCTATTTTGTATTATGGTATGTAAGTTGTTAAGCAAGTATGCTTGTGCACCTTTTGTGATAACCTTTTGTTATGTGGAGGCTATAATTCCAGAACCAATTAAGCACCTTTATGATGGGGTGCTTACAAGATTCTGGAATGTTGCTCAACCGGTTGAACAGTGGCCGTCGTTGTGTGTACGTGAACGGATGTTTTGTTCTTAATGATATGATGGCGTTTTGGTAATGCGTGTTGTGAGGATTCCTTTTGTTGAGCTGCTGTTAGGTGTTTACAATTATGCATTTTTGTTTTTTCCCTCCTTTTCAACACATCACATAAAATATCGAGTTCTAATAATTAAATTTTGTTTACAATTTCCTGCAATTGGTACAAACTCGTTATGTACTTGTATTATTTAGGTTGTTATATATTATCTGTTATGTGACAACACTAACTATTTTTTTTATACCACATATGTATATACATGTAAATATAATTCATTTAACTTCAATTATTAATCATAATTTAATATTTGTTTTCTTATATAATTAAACAAATATATTTCAAATAGACATTTGTACAATAAATTTAGAATGGAACAAATATTCATGTTAATTAATTTAAATTATATCTTTGAAACATGTCATTAAAAAGTTTAAAATCTATTATTATTAATTTTATAATAAAATTGTAAATATAATCAAAGATAATACGGAATTTACATAGATGCACATTATAAGTTCATTCTCTTCTGGTGCCACGTGTGCTGAGTCCGGTATTTTGAGCATAAAAAAATAGACAAGTGGTGGCCTAAATAGAAACACACACCCTTAGCAAGTGGTCACTCCTTTTTCTAGAAACCTCCGCCCCAAA